TCAGATATTTTAAGCATTAAAGCTGCTGTGTGAGGAACGGAAAGGCGAGAGTACTGTAGCACCGGTTAAAGAAGTAGCGGCAGCATATCTATGCAAGCTCTTCGAAATCATCGTGATGTCATGGATTTCTTTGCAACATATCGGGTGTAATCTTTCCTTTATTTTTCTTACTGACTACGGAAGGGCATACCAGAGCACCCAATTCAAGCAAAATGGATATGGAGAGTGGAAATGCCAACTCCCTGTCATTAACATTTCGTGAAAAAAGGGCAGGCTCTTCTCCCCGCTCATTTTTATTTCCATTTCCATTTCCATTTTGGGACATCCTCCTGTTGGATGGCCTGTTTTTTGACCCGTTGTATGATCCTGTTGTTGGAAGGAGATTCTCATTTATCCCGTGGATGCACGTGTGCGATGTTGCCGACGAATTCACATATATCGTTTTTGGCCCTTCATATAATGGCAGGTTGAGTACAATTAGACGTTATTAAACTTGATCAAGTCGAACAGCGAGGATAGTCCACAGTCTGCCGACTGTGATTGGTAGTTTCATATCATATCATCAGATCATCATCATCATTATCATATCACCATATTCTTCGGAAGCATTGCTACTCAGTAGTACGGAAAGAAGTGCAAGTAAGTGTGTAGAATCTTTCGGTGAAAACCGGCACACTATTTCCTTTCAAACGACAAGTGACCATACCTGCAACGCCCTGTTGCTTCTAGTGGAAATCACTTTCAGTTTTCACCCTGCTACTGACGGCCCCCCATAGGTCGTTGGACAATATGCCACCGAAGATTTCCCGGACAATTTAATCGACTATCACGGGAAAGCCCACCTGAAACTGGACGTCTACATGGATCTGGAGACGGTCCAGTAACTTACCAATGCCAGCCGGGGAACGGACCACAAAAAGTGTGCTGCAGATGCAAACTTCGCAAATGTCCGATAAGGATCCCAGTAAGTGAACCCCCCATTTCCCCCTGCTTGGGCTAGATTCATTCATGTAACCCTCGTCTTTGCACTCAGTCCGTCGTAGATATTTTTCTATATTATAAATTATATAAATCATTTCAGATGTATATGGCTGTCAAGCCGCTTGTTCGTTCCCTCCCTAGTAGCACGCTTGTCACAAATCAATTGTAGAAACTTATATACGACTTATTTTAGTCATAAACAAGTTGCTGTAACTTATTTTGAAGAAAGTGTGCTACTCGGGGCTTGTACCGGACCGCAAAAAGCAAGGCTCAAATCTCGTTAATCCACATCTAAATATTGTACTCGAAAAAAAATGCAACACTTTTTTATGTGTATAACTTTTTATTGCATGAGTAGAAATTGATACAATTTTGTTAAAGACTAGTTTAGAGTGTAATTTTCACATGTGCACAATCTCGTCACAATCTGTCGAGTGGTTATTATGATGGGTCATCATGATCATTTTTTCAGAACAATGTTTTTTTTTTGGTTCCATTTCGGGTCTCAAACAACTGTGCAAAATTTGGGGACGATTGGTTGTAAGCCGGCTTTCCGCTTCTTCTTCTTCTTGTTCGCATTTCAAGCTTATTGCTTAGCGCATATTAGCTTATTGCGTGCTCTCAACTTAGTGTTCTAAATGCACTTCCACAGTTATTAATTGAGAGCTTTCGATGCCAATACCAATGCATGAATTTGTATATTGTGTGGCAAGCACAATGATACTCTATGCCCAGGGAAGTCGAGAAAATTTTCAACCCGAAAGATTCCCTCGACCGGACTGGGAATCGAACCCGCCGCCTCCGGCTTGGTAATACCGTGCCTTTACTGACTAGGCTATGAGGCCCGGCTTTCCGCATTGCGTTTGAAATTTAAATGGCAATTAGTATAGGAAAACCTACTTTTTTGCATCTTTATTACTAAGGACCAGAATTTTGTACAAATCACGCATATAAATACGTTAAAGTATAGCACTGGAAGTGCCTAACAACTTTTCTAAAGGATGTATGGTGCTAGAATGTATCTAAAAAAAAGTTATAGCTGTTCAAAAAACAATGGTTCGAATTAAATGCCAAAAATCCCTTTTTCTGCCAACACTGCCGGTGTACCAATGAATGTCAGACTCCAAACTGAAATAACTTCGGAGTTTCTTATCTTATCGATTTGGTATGTTCTAATGAATTATTCAAAAACAATTGTTCAATCTCATAGGCATATTAAGAGATGAGGGGGGCTAACTATACCCCCGCCCCCTCACTCATTTAAACGGAAGTAAAGCTTCAAACTGCAATAATTCGGTGTTTCTGTACTCCATTTAATAGGTGTAGATAGATATGGCGGGCTTACTGTATGCTTCCCGGCCCTCACTTATATCAATGAAAGTAAAGATAAATACTAGAATAACTTCGGAGTTTCCCATCTCTCGAGTTGTTCGGATGGGTTATTCAAAAACATTTGCTTAATCTCATAAGAGCAGTTGTAAAGCGAGTACTACCATTTTCTTCCCTACTCTTTAGGTGCAATATACAATTTCAGATATATTCACACAAATGTCATGGATTTTAATGATTATCTTTCATTTCAATATATTCTACGATTTTTCAGGGTACTCTTTTCGATGCTGTTCTATCCCTTGAAGCAAATATTGCTGTTGAACTAGGTCTCGGGTGGATTTCTTGATAAGTCAGAAATTAGCTTCACCCCTCATTCAGCCATATCGTTGACAACCATCAAGGAAGCAACTCGTTGTATCGCATTGAAATAATCCGTAACATTAATCCACTCGTTTGCCGGTTTTTGCATGAAGCAGGTCGAAATTTCGAATAGGAATCAACACTGTTAGAAGTGATGTTTGGCTTGGGAGCCCAACTGAAACTTAGCCCACTTAAAGTTAGCCCAACAAGCGAAATCCGACTGTACCTGTGCCTGAGACGAAACTGGTGAAGACAGTTTTCGTTTTCTCCTGTTTTTGATTTTTGACGTACGACTACTTCTGTGTTTTCTATATGCGGGTGGCCCTGATGGCAGTTTAATATTTCAAATAAAAGCTTTGTATAAAAATTTATACTTATCCAACTGTTAATAATTCAAACAATATCTCCTCACTTACAAATGAACGGACATGTGGATATTAAATAGTTACACTATCGTTAGTGAGGCAACACCCCCCCCCCCCCCCCGCCCCCGCTTTCTAACTACGCTTATGAGATTTAGCAAATGGTTTTGAATAATTCATCTCAACATACCGAATCGGCAAGATTAGAAACTCCGAAAATATTTCAGTTTGGAATCTGACTCCCATTGGTACACCGGCAGTGTTGACAGAAAAAAGGGATTTTTGGTGTTTAATTCATACTATAAATATTTGAACAGCTATAACTTTTTAAAGATAGATTCTAGCATCGTAATTTTGTTTTAGCGAAGTTGTTAGGCACTTTCTGTACTATATTTGTTCATACTTAGTTGCATGGTTCATGCAAAATTATGGTCTCTAAGGATAAAAATGCAAAAAAGTTGCTAAAGGGTGTCCACGATGAAATTGCCACACACAAAATTGATTCGCAAAATTCGAGTTTTCATCCGATTGCCATCAAATTTTCAGGGATTGAGAAATAACTATTAAACTTCATTTTACCATTTTACTCGCATTTTATTTACAGTCCATACGCAAATGCCCGCACCTTGGCCTTAACCCCGGCCATAAGATTCTGCACAACCTGTGAATCAACCGTTTTTTGCATGTAAACCCATACTTTCTTCAGTTCCTCGACTGTCTTCACTACCTTAGGTCGTTTAAGAAGGTGCTGCTTCATAATCGCCCAGTACTTCTCGATGGGGCGGAGCTCCGGAGTGTTGGGAGGGTTGAACATTTTCGGCACGAAATTGACCTTATTGTCCGCATACCACTTCAGCACGTCCTTGGAGTAGTGGCATGAGGCCAAATCCGGCAAGAAGATTGTTGGGACGTTGTGGGCCTTCAGGAGAGGAAGCAGCCGCTTCTGGAGGCACTCTTTTATGTACACCTGTCCGTTCATCGTGTCCTGGGTCACGAAAGGTGCACTCCGCTTCCCGCACGTGCAGATGGCTTACCAAACCAGGAATTTCTTCGCAAATTTGGACATCTTCTGAGTGCGGACATGCTCCGGAACGCTGAACTTATCCTTGGCCGTGAAAAACAGGTTGCCGGGGATCTGTTTGAAGTCGGCCTTCACATATGTTTCGTCGTCCATGATGCAGCATTCAACTTTCGTCAGCATGTTGAGGTACAACTTCCTGGCACGGGTTTTGGCGGACTTGTTCTGCTTCTCGTCGCGATTAGGGGCCTTTTGTACCTTGAACGTTCGAAGCCCAGCCTTAGTTTTGGCCTTCTGGACAAAACTTCGGCTTAGGTGCAGCTTCTTAGCCACATCCCTAACGGAGGCGTTCGGATTTCGGTTGAAGGCCCCAACTACGCGGTTGTGATTTTTGGTGTAGTACGGAATACTTTTTCCTTCACTTCTGGGCTTCCGATCGGTGGTCAACCGTTCCTCGAACCGCTTAATCACTCGCGACACCGTGGAATTCGCGATTCCCAACGTTTTAGCGATGGAACGATGCGAGAGATCCTTGTTCTCGTGATGAATGCGCAAGATTTTATCACGCACGAACTGTTCTTTCGACTCCATTTCCGCGAGTTTTGATCACAGGACTTTAAAACTTGCAGGATGTAAATTATGCACTATGAACTAAATCCACCCAAATTTTCATTAAATTCTACCCAACGGTTAAAAAGTTAGAGCAATTTCATAGTGTGGCAATTTCATCGTGGACACCCTTTATTAGTATACTATTTTCCATACAAATTTCAAACGCAATGCGGAAAGCCGAGTTACAACCAATCATCCCCAAATTTTGCACAGTTGTTTGGGACTTTAAAAAAGAGTTGTTCTCGATTGGTGATGTAAAGTTTGCGTTTTTCCATAAAACGATGACCCACTCTAGTGGTTATTGAGATGGCTTCCAAGTGATTCGATAAAAAATTATGGGAGTGTTCGTGGAAAATTCAGGCCAATCCCACAGGTGCATCGCGAAACAATTTGGAATCGACAATTGGACCGTGTCCCGTGTGGTAAAATCGTTCAAGGAGACCCAGACGATCCAGCGACGAGCTGGCAGCGGAAGAAAAACGAAGACGACCGACCCCGTGAACGCAAGGAAGGCGAGGGATTGCTTCAAGCGCAATCTAAACCTTCCGATTCGAGACGTGGCTAAGAAGGTCAATTCTTCCGTCTGGTTCGTCCAGCAAACAATTAAGTGGGCTGGACTTCATGTCTTCAAGGTAAGGAAGACACCCAACCGAACTGATAAACAGAAAACGGTGGCCAAATCCCGTGCCCAGAAGCTGTACCGCGAGTGGTTGGTTGGTGCAGAGACGTACTACATTAAAGTGGACGCCAAGTAGATCCCCGGCCTGAAGCTTTTCGGCGGGAAGTCCCACCTGGATGTTCCGGAGAAGTTCCGGAAGAAGAATTTAGATAAAATTACCAAGAAGTACTTAGTGTAGCAGGCGATCTGTGGGTGCGGTAAAATCAGCAAGCCGTACATAACAACCGGTACCATATACGGCCAAATATATAGAAGAATGCCTCCAGAAGCGCCTGCTTCCTCAGGTCCCACGAAGGTGACACTCTATCTTGGCCGGATCAGGCACCGTGCCATTACGCGAAACCGGTGATGGAGTGGTACGAAGCTAACGATGTTGTTTTTGTGCCGAAGGAGGCAAATCAGCTAAACTCGCCAGAACTTCGCCCAATAGAAAAATTCTGGGCGATTATGAAGGGCAAGCTCCGGGAAACAGAGAAGGTCTTCGAAAACGACAAGGATTTGAAGAAAGAGGGGATGAAGGTGTGTAAGAAAGATGGCGCAAGTGTTGCATAGGATCTGATGGGTAGCGTTAAGTTCCAGGTGCGGGCATTTAGCCTAGGAGAGGAGGTTGAATAAACCAACTTTGCAAAAACATAGTTCATATGTGTTTCTGAGAGTTCCAAAATATCCGACTTGAAATGAATTTTTGGTGATCATTTTTTTCTGTTGCATTTTTTTCGAGCACAGTCTTTATCAGTAGCAGTGGGTCAATGCAAAGTAGTGCTTCCTGAATGCCATCTTGGCCAATCCGAACCACATGGACGCGTTGCGAACTAGAGAGCATGGGAAGAGACACCCAGCAGTCAGGATCAGTTACCCGAGATTGTGATCGTTAGTGCCATGTTCTTGTTGATTATAAAAAAATACTGTATATTAAAACTTAAATATATTTTTTGGAACTTTCAATTGAATCCCAAAAATTAAAGATTTGATAATTAATAGAATTCAATTATTATTTAAAAATCATGCAATATCTTTTGGGTAAAAAAAACTCTCCAGAATTCTCAGCCAAAAAAAAATTCCAGAAGCAGCCGGAGGAAAAATTGTTGGTAGATCAGAAAAATTCGAGGATGTAAAAATATTTAAATTAAGTGAACCATTGATTAAACTATGATCTATATAAAAAATCGCTACAGAAGTAAAAATAAGCATAGTGTAGAATAAATGCCACGAATTTAACTTATTATTTTTCTGGACTTTGAACGAAAATATTTTCCGTTTTCTGGAAATTTCCGGGAAGAGCCATCAGCTGTTACCCATTTCTCGAGAAGCTGAAAATGGCCGGAAAATGGAAACAGAAAGTTCAACCGAAACGTAAATGTAAATTTCAACTTTTTTACATTACTTATAGCAAGGGATGCACTTGCATGCTTCTCATCCGTAATAATAAAATGCAAACATTCAGTGAAAAATCAATTTTCAGAAATTTTAAATATGTTGGTAGCTTTAGAAAATTGAAAATCTGGTAAACTTAAAGATATAACAAACAAATGAAATCTCTAAGTTCAGAAAATTGTTTCAACTTCAAGATTTATTTTTTTCTAAATCTCACAGTCTTAAAAGATTTTGGGGAGCAAAACTCTTCCAGAACTTACATGGAAATTCATCTAAATCAAGCAAAAATTGCTAACAAAAACTATATAGGTATATTTTTCCTATGGAAACAATAATTTTTCCCATAAAAAAATATTTTTTCTCTAAAACTTTGTTTCCTTGCGATCAGATATGCCGTTTCCGTGCATAATTTTATTATTAAATTAAAGAAAACGCTATTTTTAAAATTTGACAAGGTCCAAACTGCCAAATTTTAGCTAAATGTGAATCATTGCTCAAAAAAAACAACTATGCAATGTTTCATGAAAATCTGAGAAGTTCGAAAATTTTCCAGCGTAATAATAAATTCCATGAGAATTCCGGATTTTTTTCAGGAAAAATTAACTTCCTTGGGAATTCCCGGGTTTCCAATTTGAAGACACACTGTTATATCCCTTATCAATCCCGATACCCCAAATGCCCGATTATCGATGTATTAGTAATAGGAGACTATTCAAATAATTACGTTGATACTAGTATAAATAATATAAATTAATATGTAGATTTGTCATTGGTAAATACGAATCGAAAATCAAGATTAACAAGTTACAAATAACAAATGATGATGCGGTTGCTTCAACTGCAAAAGTTCCTGCTACTGTGAGGTGTATTTTTTTTCCCATGATTTGTTTTCCGTCAATCTTGTTTTCCGTGCTGAGCACCAATGCTACCGACGCCAGGGAGGCGTTCCCATACCTAGAACCCTACCTATCAACCCATCAACTCATGAACCGGGGACCAACGGCATATTACTTCCCTTCCGACCAACGGCTTTACTCCGAGATCAGAGATGTTATGCCTCCGAACATCCCGGCAGCGCCGACTGGGATTGAACCCAGACCTGCTGAGGTGAGAGGCAATCACGCTTACCATTGCACCACCGGCGCCGCTACTGTGTGGTGTTGATTCGAATCAGCAGTGCTCTCTCAAAGTTGATCCTCCCATCATCGTCGTCATCAACGCCATCATCTTCATCGTCTTTGTCGTAACCGTGCTGCTGCTCTTTTTGTCGCTCCTGTAAGCCACTTCCGGAATAAAGCAGCCGGTGGTGTTCAATGTCTCGCAGTTGCAAAAGGTTGCGATAATCTGCAAAGAATTTCCAACAATTTAATACAATTTAAGCTCACTTAAAAGATTGTTTTTTTTTTTATTTTATTTTTTTTTTTCGAGCATCCCCAGTCGATGGCGTCTGTAACAGAAGATGCAACTTGTTTTTTGCTTCGGATTTTGTTCTCCTTTCTTCTTTACCCAGAACAATGTGCCATCAGACGGTGCCACCAGTCGGTGCTACTACTTACACCCCTTTAGATGAATCCCGGGTTTTTGAGAAAAGTGAAAATCACCGCCGCCGCCACCCCACCATCACCTATGAACGGTGGAAAATTACACAGTGATAAGTGTAATGGCATCGTAAAATAAAGCTGAATCTTTTAAATCCAGTACATTGTTAGTCGGGAGAACGGTGATGGGTTCGGTGAAAGTCAGCATGCTGCGAAGTGAAAAGCTTGAACTTACGTACGGTGCAGCTTTTTCTTCGAATGGATGGGATCTCAAGATTACTCAAGCCATGGAGATGTAGTTAATCAAAGATTCAGAATTCAAAATCCTTCTTCGGGCTTCCATTGTTGGGTTTTCTATCGGATTGAATACCGTTCTTTGCAAAAATCAACAAAGCACCAATACGCAAATTCATGAAACAACATTGAACATGTGGAAAGAGTAGACAAGCAAAACTGCAGAACTATGGTTTAAACATAGTTACAGAAAATTTAATCAAATAAAAATTAGACAACGAAAAATCTTTAGACAAAGGAAGAAACAACAAAGCAACACAACATAACAACATCCTTTCAAACATTAGAAAATGATGCATGGTAAGTGGGAAAACTCTATAATTGTATTATTTCTTTGCAACCACTCTACACCTTCCGTGCACTCTTCAACCGTCTCATTGTTAAATCGAGTTCTAGTTGTTTGAAAAGAGGTAAAACATCCTAATGAACTTATCCACGAAGAATGACACCTAAGAAAACGCCCCTAGGGAGGGAGGCAGGTGGGAGCATTGTTGCAGATCTTTCATCCCCCTCCGGTGCTCAATTCACACCGAACGAAACACATCCAATCTAGTAAGCGTTCCACTGCAGCAGTAGGTGCCAACATCCGGAACGTCTTATTTCCTCACAAGTTTCTGCTGCAAAGTTGAGTTATGCAAATATGGGATAACTCAAAAAGAAATCGCGTAGGCTTTTGTAGTATGATTGCCCTCGGGGCGTTCTCGACTCCCGGCACACCCCGACTGGATCTTTGCTTCCGCTTTCATTCTCACAACTCAGCGGTGGTGGCGATGGGGATGGTAGTGGGACGGAATAAGGAATGATGATAAGCTCGAAGCCCTATGTCTATCTAACCGTAATACCATGCACGCCGACTTGGGTCGAAGGGTGCGTGCGTGTGTCTCGGTTGGTACCTACCAGATCTCGATTAGAATAAATTGAGCTTTTTTTTTATGAGCCCGACATTGGATTACATTCCGTTGGTCCCCCGACAGGGGGTTATTCAACGGTGGCAGACCTTTAGATCAATTCAATCGTTTTTGCATCTTTCCGTCTCCGACCGTAACGGATAGATTTTTTCTTTCGCTCTATTTTGAGCACCGGTTTTGCGTTCACCATAATAGGGTAAGTGGTCCAGTAAGAGTGGTGTACCTATGGTTGCGGTATGGGGTTCGGTGCTGTCATGGTAGATTTAGAGCTGGTTACTCATAGATTTTCCATATGTGCGCCCCCATCCACTTCAAATGCATGCGCCTCTTCAAGGAGATCCAAATAATTGTACCTTATTAATGTAAGGCCTGTACTCGAAAAAAATGCACCAGAAAAAAGTGTTCGCCAAAAATTTATTTTAAGTCGGATTTTCTTGAAACTTTCAGGGAATGAACTAATACATATGGATTATGTTTTGGCATAATTACTTTATTCAATTTCCTTTCCATCGCTGGAAGCCCGCACCTTTCCCTTAAGCCCCCTCATTACATTTTGTGCAATGGTGGAGCCGACCTTTTTGGTCACTTTCATGCATTCTTTCTTCAACTCCAGCTCGTTCTTAAACACCTTGGACGATTTTCGAACTTTGGCCTTCATTATGGCTCAAAATCTTTCCACCGGACGAATCTCTGGTGAATTTGGGGGGTTGGCGTTATTGTCTCTGTACCAATCCAACGTCGATCGCGCGTAATGGCATGACGCCAGGTCCGGCCAAAATAATGTCTCGCCTCCGTGGGACCGCAGGAAGGGCAACAGACGCTTCTGGAGGCACTCGGTGCGGTAAATTTCGCTGTTGATGGTACCCATTGTGATGTACGGTTTACTCAGTTTACCGCATTGGCATATCGCCTGCCAGAGCATGTATTTTTTGGCGAATTTGTCCACTTTCTTCTTCCTTATG